TGTCCATTTCTGGACAACATATATCAGTATGTATGATTTCCAATATACTTGAACTCCTATTGGCACCCTTTTTAAACTTGTTTGTTTGCTTACCCTTAATGCAATCTACACAAGTTTCAAAATCAGAAAAATCAAGAGTACTAAGTACCCCATCATTAACTAATCGCTTAATTCTTTCAATGGAGATGTGACCCAATCTTCGGTGCCATAACATAGAGGAATTCTCGTCAACACCGGGTCTTTTGGAGCCAGTATGCACATGAAATGAATTAAGTGTGGCATCATTTTGCAAATCAATACGGTAAAGACCATCAGACAAAGTACCTTTTCCAACAAAAGTAGATTTATTGAATAAATCAATAACTTTATTCTTGAAATTGAAGGAAAAACCGAATGGTACTAGTCTTGAAATTGAAATCAAGTTTCGTGAAAAACTTGGTACATAAAAAGTCTTTTCCAAAGTTAAAACAAAGCCACTACTTAAAATTAAGGTGCATGTTCCAATGCCTTCCACATGTGAGCCCATCTTGTTTCCGGATAAGATGCTTTGCTCACTTCCCACTGGCTTCCTTAGATTCTGCATACCCTGTAAAGAGTTTGCAACGTGGATTGTAGAACCAGAATCAATCCACCATGAATTAGTGTTAACATCACACATATTGGATTCATGACAAACAAAGGAGGATAAAATACCTTTATTCTCCAACCACTTCTTGAACTTGGCACAATCTTTCTTCATGTGTCCTTTCTTTTTACAGAAATAACACTTATGTACCTTCTTAATGTCAGCCTTGGGTGGTATTTTACCTTTACCCTTAGCTTTAGAGGTGGTTGTACGAGACTTGTCAAATTTGTTCTTGGCTAAGGTTGTAGCTAGCATGACACTTTCACCCAACTCCATTATGAGCCTTTCTTCTTCTTGCACACACATGGTCATTAGTTCATTAATTGACCACTTATCCTTATGTGTGTTATAAGAGATTTTAAATGGACCATAGTGGTGAGGAAGGGTATTCAGAATGAAGTGCACCAAGAACGCCTCCGACATTGTTACCTCCAAATTTTGCAATTGAGCCGCTATGTCCCGCATCTTCATGATGTGCTCTCGCACACCCTTAACGGTTGTGAGACGGAGTGAGGAGAATTTCATGATTAAGGTACTTGCTAAGGCCTTTTCCGAAGTGACAAATTGATCATCAATAGCCTTAAGCAAGTCATTGACATTCTTATGCTGATCAACCGAGCCACGAATTCCAGCTGAAATTTTAGTTTTTATAAACATTACGCTGAGCCGATTGGATCTCTCCCATCGCTCATATAGCGCAATTTCAGCCGGAGTACTTTGTGCATTAATGGCGGGCGGTTCATCCTTCCTAATAGCATAATCAATGTCCATGCAACCTAAGTGTAGGAGAACTCTTTCTCTCCAAACCTTATAGTTGTCACCAGTTAGTTCGGGAATTTCAAGGCCTAACGAAAATTCGGAATGAGTAATGGGTTGAGAAGCTGAAAAGGTCCATATATAGCTTGTGTTAGTTTTGAGGTACATATATAACTGAATTGCATGAATTACCAATGTAAATAATGCACCATGATGACTCAACCGCCATAAAAATTGCCTGTGGGCTAAATTCTTATGCATGAGTTGTCACGCCCCGGACCTCCCCGGACACGTCGACAACCCGCCGTACAATACGAATAGTCAACCGCAGTCCAACACATTCATATTATACAAGGCGTCATGAATATCATTCACACATAAGTCATCCATAAACAACATAATAAGTAATTCATAAAGCAGCGGAAAACATTGTTTAAAACGAAAGGGCCACATAGGGCTATTCATGAGCACGCAGGCTCTATAATAAAATATCCACGAGCATGTTTATTAATGTTTAAAATCCGAATGGAGGAAGCACGAACCAAGTCTTCGCTCCTAGATGATCTCTCGAGCAACGAGCACAGGAAGCAAGCTCTAGCCTCAACCTGAAAAATGGTGGTGGGACGCCCCCGAAGGGGTCAGCACTCTATACGGCTATAAAGTGCTGGTGTGGCAGGCATCTAATAGATATACAACAAGTATTTCAAACACAAGACCCTCAAATAGGGTGATAGTACATTATGATTGTAACCCTAAGTTACCCCGTTTAAAAAAATATACTTACTTTATATAAAAGTCAAGTAGCCGGCCCGTGGGCCCATGTTCATTTGGAAATCACCATTCCCAACCCCGTGACTATAAGCCACGACAACTCCTAGAGTCCAACCCTAGTACATGACATTGTATTCTAGAGCTCGGCTCTACCACATCACCATACAATTCATATACCTCGGGTCAATTTTCCTACCTTGCGTTCTAGAGCTCGGCTCTATCACATCACCACGCAAGTCCTAGAGCTCGGCTCTAGCTATACAATACATAGACTCCAAGTCTACACCTTACATGCATTCTAGAGCTCGGCTCTATCACATCACCATGCATTAAGGTCCAATTCTCAAGCAACCCTATGCCTAGAATTGACATATCATTAAACTACCATGGGTCATCCTTAAAGACTTCCCATAACTTAACCTTAGTTCCATACTAAGTATCATATACACTTGAACTATATTCAAGTACCTTTCATACAATCCAATCCCTAGGATCAATTAAATCAACAAGTTCCAATAATCACTAACTAGTATTTCAATACTATTAAGATTATTGTTATCATACCATTATCCTCATTATTTGTAATTCTCTACATATTTATAGTTATGTAGCAGCAACTTAAGTATTCACTCTCAATACACAAATATTCATTTATGTAACCACATAATTCATACATGAGCAAAATGTCTATTTCACAAAATAGTCCATTTATACTCATTTAATCTCATAATATTCATACATTCTCAAATCATTTCAAATTTCATTCTTTGGCAACTATATCAATATTTCATCAATATATAATCATCATAATCCATGAAAAATAATGATTTAAGCATTTAGGTAATCTCATGCTTAACCTACAAGTTGTAAGCAATTAGATGTCAATCCTCACCTCAATTGAGCTTTAAACTTTCCCTTCTTGGTCCAATGGTCAAATCTTTGGTCAAGGTGGATTTGGGACTGATTCCTTGCTCAAATATGAGTGTTAAACAGCCTCCTCAAAGTGCTAGTTCAACCCTTAATCGTTGATACGAAAACAGACCCTAGAACGGGTGTTTTCCGGCTAACTCGATTCCTAGTTTCCCAATATTTGCATCTAGGTTAGTATCTAACCTTTACATCAATAAAATAACTTTATAAGGACATATTATACACTTGGATTAGTTTATAATAGTCTCACCAATCGTTCATATCATTTGGAGAATGAAAAGTAAAGCTTTGGGGTTAAAACTCACTTTAGAAGATTAAATCCTCTCCTGCGAGGTTGCGTTTTTCTCGGACGATTTGGAAGCCTTCCACAACTCCAATTCCTTCAAACCAGGCCTTCACAGATTCCTCGTCTTGAGAGCTTTCTTTTGGTATATCATACGCCTTATTTGGACGAGTGAAGATCAAGTTATGGATCAAACAAGAGACCCTATCTGCTGGAAAACGAATCCTGCGGCCAGCTTCTCTCTTCTCTTCTCCCTTGGAATATGTGGCTCCCTCTTTCTCTCTTATCTTGGGAGTTCGAATGGGGTGTAGGGGAAATGTATTAGGAAGGCCTCAATCATGCTAAGAGAGCATGTGGTTCACAAAAAGAAAGGTGGGGTATTTGATTGCAATCAAACATGGTATGGACCTCCTCTTTTATTTCCTTTTTGTAATGTTGTAGCTCATGAGTCAAAAGTCCGCCCCACATAGTTGTCTCATCCATTTTTCTTTGTCTTTGCAGGTACCAAGGTCATGTGGGATGGTTCCCAAATGATCCCATTTAATTTGGGGTCCAAAATATCTACCAATACTTCCAAAAATGGGAAGATGGGTCCTATTGTTTTATCTTTGTCAAAAGATGTCTTTTTTTTGTACTCATTCTAATTTATTTAGAGCAAGTCAACTTCCTAAATCACATTATTGATCTCCAATATGTGTAGGCTCATCCCAATAATTTACGTGATGAAAATTACAAAAGAATGCGGGTTTGAACAATACAATATTCAATCATGTACTTCGTAAAATATTAATCGTTTCTTCCATTGCTTTGAAATCGGAAATTCAATACATCACTTTTGAATTTTTAAATCGAATTTTCAAGGACGTTCGGGTGCGGTGTCACAAGTTCACCCCCCCTTAACAGGAATTTCGTCCCCGAAATTCACAGCTCTACTCGAATAGGAAAGCATACTGCTTCCTCATCAAAGCCTCCGTTTCCCATGTCTCTTCCTCGACCCGATCGCTCTTCCACAGGACTTTAACCATTGGGACTTCTTTGCTCCTCAACTTCTTCACCTTTCTATCGGTGACTTTGATAGGTTGAACAGCGTAGTTCAAATCCTCACGTACCTCTACAGGTGGCTTCCCCAATACGTGAGAGGGATCATGCACGTACTTCTTAAGCATGGATACATGAAACACATTATGTATCTTCTCTAACTCAGGAGTCAATTGTAGACGATATGCAACGGCCCCAATCCTCTCTATAATTCTGAATGGACCTATATATCGTGGGTTAAGTTTTCCTCGGGTTTGGAACCGAATGATCCCTTTCCAAGGAGAAACTTTCAAGAATACCTCGTCATCAACCTTAAACTCTAAGGTTCTTCGACGCTTATCTGCATAACTCTTTTGTCTATCCTGAGCCGCCTTGAGTCTCTCTCGAATCAACTTCACCTTTGATTTGGTGACCTCCACCAACTCAGTACCCTCGAGTTTGGCCATGCCAACCTCGTCCCAGCATAACGGTGTACGGCACCTCCTCCCATACAATGCCTCGTATGGAGGCATGCCGATGCTTGCCTGATAACTGTTGTTATAGGCAAACTCCACAAGTGCTAAGTGGTTGTCCCAACTCCCCTGGAACTCCAATGCACAAGCCCTCAGCATGTCTTCTAGGATCTGTATAACCCTTTCAGACTGCCCATCCGTCTGTGGATGGAAAGCAGTGCTGAACTTCAACTTCGTTCCCATAGACTCCTGGAATTTCGGCCAAAAACGTGATGTGAATCGTGGGTCTCTATCAGATACAATGGTCACCGGGACCCCATGCAGCCTCACGATCTCATCCGTATACAATTTGGCTAACCTCTCAAGTGGGTAGGTAGTGTTGATAGGCAAGAAGTGTGCACTCTTCGTGAGCCTATCTACCACAACCCAAACTGCATCATAGTTCCTGATTGTTCGTGGTAAACCTACCACAAAATCCATAGTCACGTGTTCCCACTTCCATTCAGGAATGGAAAGTGGTTGCAATAAGCCTGCTGGATGCTGATGTTCTGCCTTAACTTGTTGACAAGTAAGGCATCGACTGATATATTCGGCTATTTCTCTCTTCATACCCGACCACCAGTAACTCTCCTTCAAGTCGCGGTACATCTTCGTGCCCCCCGGGTGCATGGCATAAGCCGATGAATGAGCTTCCTCTAAGATGGACCTTCGGAGCTCATCATCTGCCGGTACACACACTCGGTCACGAAATAATAGAAGACCGTCATCTCTTTCTCTGAAGTCCTCCACCGGTCCTGCTTCTATGCGTTCCCGGATCTTCATAATTTTTTCGTCTGTTTCCTGACCCTTCTTGATCTCATCAAGTAACGTAGGTCTCACCTCAAATCGTGCCAATAAGGGACCATCGCTGGATACCTCCAGTTGGGCTCTTAATGCCCTCAAATTAGCTAGCAATGCCCCAGACGAGCTCTTCCGGCTCAAAGCATCTGCTACCACGTTTGCCTTGCCGGGGTGATACTCTATCACTAGATGGTAGTCTTTTATCAACTCCATCCACCGTCTCTGTCTCATGTTTAGCTCTTTCTGAGTAAACACGTATTTCAAGCTTTTGTGATCAGTGTATATGTGACATGTCTCCCCGTAGAGATAATGTCTCCATATCTTCAGTGCAAACACCACTGCCCCCAGCTCCAAATCATGAGTAGGATAATTCACCTCATGCTTCTTCAACTGTCGTGAAGCATAGGCGATTACCCTCCCATTCTGCATCAGTACACATCCAAGCCCTTGGATGCTGGCATCGCTATAGACATCGTACCCCACACCCTGTTTGGGTAATGCAAGTACCGGTGCCTCGGTCAATCGCTTCTTTAGTTCCATGAACCCCTTCTCACATTTGTCATCCCATACAAACTTAGCCCCTTTACGAGTGAGCTTCGTCAATGGTGATGCCAAAACAGAGAACTTTTCCACAAACTTCCTATAGTAGCCTGCCAATCCAAGGAAACTACGAATTTCCTTGACGTTCTTTGGCCTCTCCCATTCGGTAATGGCTTCTATCTTCTTGTTGTCAACAGCAATTCCCGATCCAGAAACCACGTGCCCGAGGAAGCCAATCTCCTTCAGCCAAAATTCACATTTAGAAAATTTGGCATAGAGTTGCTTCTCCCGTAGTGTCTCAAGAACAAGTATCAAGTGCTTTTCATGCTCTTCTTCACTCTTTGAGTAAATCAAGATGTCATCTATGAACACAATCACGAATCGGTCCAAGTATTTATGAAATACTCGGTTCATCAAGTCCATGAATGCCGCCGGGGCATTTGTTAACCCAAATGACATAACAAGGAATTCAAAATGCCCATACCTTGTGCGGAAAGCACTCTTTGGTATGTCATCTTCCTTAATCTTCAGTTGGTGGTACCCCGACCTCAAGTCAATCTTTGAAAACACGGTTGCTCCTCGTAGTTGGTCAAATAAGTCATCAATCCTAGGCAAAGGATACCTATTCTTGATTGTGACCTTGTTCAGTTGACGATAGTCAATGCACATTCGGAGTGTCCCATCTTTCTTTTTCACAAAAAGAACTGGTGCTCCCCACGGGGAGTGGCTGGGTCTAATGAAACCATTATCCAAAAGCTCCTGCAATTGGGTTTTCAACTCGTTAAGTTCAGCGGGTGCCATACGGTATGGCGGTATGGAGATTGGTTTGGTACCAGGCTCGACCTCGATCACAAATTCAATCTCCCTATCAGGTGGAAGCCCCGGTAGGTCTTTAGGAAAGACATCCGGGTACTTACAAACCACCCTCACGTCGTCAATGTTCATTTCCTCCTTGGTTTTGTCAACCACGTATGCTAGATATGCGTGGCATCCCTTTCTCATCATACTTCTCGCTCTCACGGCGGAGATAATACAACTGTTTGATTTGCCTCGATCCCCCTCGAAGCGTAGGGTGTCCCCATTATTGCCTTCGAGTTCGAAAACCTTTGTGTAGCAATCTACCCTAGCATGATGCTTTTCTAGCCAATCCATCCCTAGGATTGCATCGAACTCCATCATACTCAGCGGTACGAAATCACACGTCAAGGTTTGGCCATCAATTTCCACCTCACAAGATGGATAGTAACTCGTTCTTTCAACGTCATCCCCTAGTGGTGTTGATACCACTAATGTGTGCGTCAATGGTATTGATTGTACCCCTAAGTCCTCGGCGAACGTCTCACTCACGAACGAACGTTGCGCTCCGGTATCGATAAGAATTCGTGCATCCTTCCCATTAATCTTTAATGTTCCTACATTTATACACCACGTAAGATACCCTTTCTGATGGTTTAGGACACTTTTTAGGAGGTTAATAGGTTCATATAAATGTTCGGAATCAAACGGGGGTCCAATCGTAGAAGAACGAGATGGAAAACTTAGGTTTCGGGCGGCTGGGGTCCACGCACGGTCGTGCGTGGGACACGCACGGTCGTGCGTGCATGAAAAGGCTCGCCTCCGGCTACTGCCGGTTACGCACGGTCGTGCGTACCCGGACACGCACGATCGTGCGTCCACGCACGGCGTGCGTACCGGCACGCACGGTCGTGCGTCCTGCGCGAAAATCACCCGGAGCCCCTGCCCCCTATGCACGATCGTGCGTGGGGTTGGACGCACGATCGTGCGTCCCTGTTTTTGGTCAGTTTTGGCCCGAATTTCGCCGTTTGACCCCGTAATGGCTCGCACTCAATCCCTATGACTTATGTCATCAATTTATGGATTAAATATGGGCAAAATACAATTGTGCAAGGGGCAATACCTGCAACCGAGTCCGGGTTAGCTCGAGCATCCGCCTCCGTCATCGCATAAACTATAGCTTGAGTTTTTCCTTGATTCACGGATGGTGCGTTGCTCGTACTCGCTCCCCCATGTCCCCGGCTCGCTTGAGACGCTCCGGTTTGATTCTGTGTACCCGTCGGGCCACTGCTCGGTCCCGATGTCCTTGTCCCACCCAATTGTGGGCAATGCGCCTTCAAATGCCCGGCATCCCCACATTGAAAACATCTAGGGGGGTCGCGACATTTACCGGAGTGGTTCCTCTTGCAATTGTTGCAACGAGTTACCACCGAGGTTTGTGACCTCGAGCCTTGCCCACTCGGGCCTTGATTCCCCCTAGACGGTGGTGGCGGTGCACGGAAAGATCCTCCTCCATGGTTCCCCTTTTTGTTGGAACCTTGGGAGCCATGACTCTCCCATTTTCTCTTTTTCGCCTCCTCGGCGTCTCTCTTCTTCCTCTCCTCCCACTGTTTCTCCCCCTTCAACGCTTGGTCAACCACTTGGGCGAAAGTCATGTTAGGCAATTGTGTTGCCCTATCACGGATCTCCAAGTCAAGAGCATCCCAAAAGTGGTTTACCATTCGGTTCTCGTCACAAGCATACTCCGGTATGTAGTCGGCGAGATCCCGGAACTTGTACTCAAGTTCCTTCACTGTCATGTTACCTCCTTGGGTTAGGAGGGTGTATTCCCTCACCTTCTTGTTCACCTCAAAATCAGAATAATATTGGGCAAAGAACTCCCGTTGGAAGTCCTCCCAAACGACGGTCTCACCGTACTTGCTCTTGGTTCCATCCCACCACTTGGATGCCATCCCCTCGAGCAATCTTACCGCAATTCTCAGTTTGAGATTTGGCGCGATTTGCATGTCAAGGGCTGCTTCATTTAGCCTCTTGATCCATTGTGCTGCAACTGAAATGTCCCCTGCTCCATCAAAGGGTTTGCACCCCAAATCCCTTGCTTCTTTGATAAATTTGGAGATCCTTATGGTTGGACCTCCATCATTTTGGCCTCCATGTGGTTCCACATGGACTCTAGATGCACCATGACTTCCTCCTCTTGAAGCCATGCCCGAAGGTTGCCCCGCTCGGCGTCTTCGGCGTTGCCTCCTCTCTTCACGCTCCCTGTGGTATTGTTGGAGTAGTGCTTCGATCCGTGCTAAGGAGCCATTTTCCTCCTCATCACTTACATCGTCATCATCCCCTTCATAAGGGGTCTCAACCGGCTCTGTCTCCGGTTGGTAAGTCGAGTCCTCATAGGACCAGTAGGTCTCACTTTCCGTGTCAACATGACCGTCACTCACGGTCTGTGATCGGCCTCCACGGCCAGCTCCTCTAGATGCCCTAGAGGTCCTTCGACTGCCCTGTCCAGTCTCCACTGGTACACGGCCCGTCGGGTTTCTCCTAGTAATCCTGCCACCACGGTCCATCTCTGAAAGAAATTTGGAAAGAGTCGTTAGACTCGTATCAAATGTCAATTGACGGATAGGTACTTAAGACACATCTTGGCTCGAGTCACCGCCATACCAATTGCTAAGGGTACCATCTTAACAATTAGAGACCTTGCAACCCAAGTACCAAAAGCTCTCCAAGTACAAAACTTCTATGCTCATGGTTTTCAATATCATTTTGAAAAGAGAATTTTGAGACTTCACTATGCAGTTTATGGACTAAGGCTCTGATACCAACTTAATTGTCACGCCCCGGACCTCCCCGGACACGTCGACAACCCGCCGTACAATACGAATAGTCAACCGCAGTCCAACACATTCATATTATACAAGGCGTCATGAATATCATTCACACATAAGTCATCCATAAACAACATAATAAGTAATTCATAAAGCAGCGGAAAACATTGTTTAAAACGAAAGGGCCACATAGGGCTATTCATGAGCACGCAGGCTCTATAATAAAATATCCACGAGCATGTTTATTAATGTTTAAAATCCGAATGGAGGAAGCACGAACCAAGTCTTCGCTCCTAGATGATCTCTCGAGCAACGAGCACAGGAAGCAAGCTCTAGCCTCAACCTGAAAAATGGTGGTGGGACGCCCCCGAAGGGGTCAGCACTCTATACGGCTATAAAGTGCTGGTGTGGCAGGCATCTAATAGATATACAACAAGTATTTCAAACACAAGACCCTCAAATAGGGTGATAGTACATTATGATTGTAACCCTAAGTTACCCCGTTTAAAAAAATATACTTACTTTATATAAAAGTCAAGTAGCCGGCCCGTGGGCCCATGTTCATTTGGAAATCACCATTCCCAACCCCGTGACTATAAGCCACGACAACTCCTAGAGTCCAACCCTAGTACATGACATTGTATTCTAGAGCTCGGCTCTACCACATCACCATACAATTCATATACCTCGGGTCAATTTTCCTACCTTGCGTTCTAGAGCTCGGCTCTATCACATCACCACGCAAGTCCTAGAGCTCGGCTCTAGCTATACAATACATAGACTCCAAGTCTACACCTTACATGCATTCTAGAGCTCGGCTCTATCACATCACCATGCATTAAGGTCCAATTCTCAAGCAACCCTATGCCTAGAATTGACATATCATTAAACTACCATGGGTCATCCTTAAAGACTTCCCATAACTTAACCTTAGTTCCATACTAAGTATCATATACACTTGAACTATATTCAAGTACCTTTCATACAATCCAATCCCTAGGATCAATTAAATCAACAAGTTCCAATAATCACTAACTAGTATTTCAATACTATTAAGATTATTGTTATCATACCATTATCCTCATTATTTGTAATTCTCTACATATTTATAGTTATGTAGCAGCAACTTAAGTATTCACTCTCAATACACAAATATTCATTTATGTAACCACATAATTCATACATGAGCAAAATGTCTATTTCACAAAATAGTCCATTTATACTCATTTAATCTCATAATATTCATACATTCTCAAATCATTTCAAATTTCATTCTTTGGCAACTATATCAATATTTCATCAATATATAATCATCATAATCCATGAAAAATAATGATTTAAGCATTTAGGTAATCTCATGCTTAACCTACAAGTTGTAAGCAATTAGATGTCAATCCTCACCTCAATTGAGCTTTAAACTTTCCCTTCTTGGTCCAATGGTCAAATCTTTGGTCAAGGTGGATTTGGGACTGATTCCTTGCTCAAATATGAGTGTTAAACAGCCTCCTCAAAGTGCTAGTTCAACCCTTAATCGTTGATACGAAAACAGACCCTAGAACGGGTGTTTTCCGGCTAACTCGATTCCTAGTTTTCCAATATTTGCATCTAGGTTAGTATCTAACCTTTACATCAATAAAATAACTTTATAAGGACATATTATACACTTGGATTAGTTTATAATAGTCTCACCAATCGTTCATATCATTTGGAGAATGAAAAGTAAAGCTTTGGGGTTAAAACTCACTTTAGAAGATTAAATCCTCTCCTGCGAGGTTGCGTTTTTCTCGGACGATTTGGAAGCCTTCCACAACTCCGATTCCTGCAAACCAGGCCTTCACAGATTCCTCGTCTTGAGAGCTTTCTTTTGGTATATCATACGCCTTATTTGGACGAGTGAAGATCAAGTTATGGATCAAACAAGAGACCCTATCTGCTGGAAAACGAATCCTGCGGCCAGCTTCTCTCTTCTCTTCTCCCTTGGAATATGTGGCTCCCTCTTTCTCTCTTATCTTGGGAGTTCGAATGGGGTGTAGGGGAAATGTATTAGGAAGGCCTCAATCATGCTAAGAGAGCATGTGGTTCACAAAAAGAAAGGTGGGGTATTTGATTGCAATCAAACATGGTATGGACCTCCTCTTTTATTTCCTTTTTGTAATGTTGTAGCTCATGAGTCAAAAGTCCGCCCCACATAGTTGTCTCATCCATTTTTCTTTGTCTTTGCAGGTACCAAGGTCATGTGGGATGGTTCCCAAATGATCCCATTTAATTTGGGGTCCAAAATATCTACCAATACTTCCAAAAATGGGAAGATGGGTCCTATTGTTTTATCTTTGTCAAAAGATGTCTTTTTTTTGTACTCATTCTAATTTATTTAGAGCAAGTCAACTTCCTAAATCACATTATTGATCTCCAATATGTGTAGGCTCATCCCAATAATTTACGTGATGAAAATTACAAAAGAATGCGGGTTTGAACAATACAATATTCAATCATGTACTTCGTAAAATATTAATCGTTTCTTCCATTGCTTTGAAATCGGAAATTCAATACATCACTTTTGAATTTTTAAATCGAATTTTCAAGGACGTTCGGGTGCGGTGTCACATGAGTCTTAAATAATTTTGTACCCATACCGATAAACATATCAAACTATATTCCGAATCATAATTTCCTGTGGGATAAATTATGACCATAGTCCGATATTTTATCCTAATTAATCATACAAAATACAACAAATTTCCTGTGGGATAAATTGTGTCATATTGCGTATAATTAATTACAAATTTTATGCCTAACTTTAGTGTGATTTTCGCCAAAGGCTTCTTAATATATAATTTTAATTAATTAAGGATGCTGTGGCTACTCCAAAATTAATAAAATTATATTATCACAAAAGCAATCCTTTAAAGCTTAAAACAACATTCGTGATGGACAATCCCCAAATATGCTCCCAGGATAGTCGGACGGGGCTAGGATTTATTAAAAAATAATTCTTTAGACAAATTAACAATTCAAGGAAAACTAGTATCAAAATTGAAGCGTAACTAGTTTGTACTTCCCAAGAATTTCCCCGATTAAACCTCTCACGTTAATTGTTGTTTGGGTACTACCACAAATAATTTATTCATGGGAAAAACTTTAAAGGTAACGGAATGAGAACTTTATTTACTTAATGTGCTTAAATTTTAGGCACTATGTCAATTACAATTATGCATAAGTTCAACTTTAATGGGAATAATATGTGCATTGATTCCCGACGTTATGCATTCAAGGCATTAATTTAAGACGTTACGCATTTGAAGGCATTAATAATACGTTACGCATCAAAGATATTAATTATACGTTATGCACTAAATACTTCAATATTACGCATTAAAGGCATTAATATAGTGCACAGTTTCAATGCACAATTTCAATGCAATGCAATCAATGCATCACGTAATAATTAAAATAAATGTGCTGGAAAAAGAATTAAATTGTTCCAAAATCCAAATTAATTTATCCAAATTAAAATAGCACAATTGAATTCATTCAAAGTGGATCCCAAATATAGTAATAAGTCCAAAACTTATTCTATAACTTCATGGAGAAATTCGGAAAACATAAAAAGAGTTATGGCGTTCCTTATGAAGGCGCATCAAAACTCTCATGCACTACCGCCGTAACACCCTATGGTGCTACATCAACCGGCGGCCACCATATCCGATAGCATCTCCTCCACACATACAAATGCCAATCATAGATACAAAATACTACATGTTCAATTTCATATATACATGTAGAAACGCCATATGTATGTATGTAAAATATATCAAAAATTATTAATTAGCCATCCGTTTTAATATTTTCCGAATTATAAACGGATAGAAGAATCACAAAATATTGCGAAGCACATGTATATGCACACGGTTCATATACATGCATATATATATTTCATAAATTTAAAACACTTAAATTCAAGAATTAAATGTCACCATAACCATTCCATCAAACATAATGATAGGAATTTAAAAGGTTAACATATGAACTTGAGAAAATCATATGCATATATCTCTCAAAATTAAATATATATATATATACATATAACAATTCAAATTCATAAACTCATATGATTTCCGAACAATTATTATATAATTTTCGGACAACATATATGTATGATTATAGGACATACGATTATATATAAAATTATACATAAAATTATATGACACAAATATACATACATATGTCATACGAACACACACAAAAATCCATGCTTCCATATGAACACATACGAATATACATGAGCACACACATATGGTTCAATTCATGCATATGACATGGAAATCATGTTAAACATATACACATATATATATTTATATATAATATATACGAACAAAACATATATGTGTGTGATGTGATGAACACATATATGAACATGTATATACCGAATGTTCATATAAAATTCATGATGTTCATACAACAAATAGGCAGAGATTAAACAAGCTCTGATACCAAATGTTAGCCTAAAATCATAACAACGCAGCGGAAATAATGGGATCGCTAACCTCCAGCCATATTGTTGATGAACGGTCGAAGAACGTGGAAGAACACCGGAAATCCTTTTCGTCTCCCACTTCACTCCTCACTCTAGATGGTGTATATTGCTTAGAGCCTATTCGGATATGGAGCTAAGCATACATGTGAATGTATGTTGTGATAGGAGGAGTGGGAGGACCATGGAGCACTTATATAGCCACCTACCATCAAGGTGGCTCTTGTAACGGAAACCGTTACAATATCCGCCATCATTGCACCACACTTATGGGACATTATTATTTGATTAATTCAAATATTTCAAAATAATGTTACAAAGAAGCGTTTAGTAAGCCTGAGTTTTAATAACCGGTGACATGTTTACTTCATCAGCCCAAAGATATCTTATATTTGAAAATTACATAAATAACCTTAAAACCTACTCCCTTATTTCATTTCTACTGCTTTATCAGTGATAGAGAAAACAGTCGCTCCTATCTCTATTGAACAAGCTAAGTCGCTCCCATCTCCATCGAAGAAGCTAAGACCTCCTGGTATTACTTTTTTCTTCCATTTTTCAATCCGATTTGAACAAGGACCCTCTATCCCCCTGTTCGAAATCAAACACACATATATAATTAGTTTAAAAAACGTTTTTCTATTCAAAACTAGCTATATGTAGTTATATAGATCTATCTGGGAGCAAGGTGCAGAGATACGATTGTGGCCAATGATTCCCTTAAATTTGATGATTTGTCTGCTTAGGTGCTTGTGTACATGAATATTATGACAACATGAACTAGTTTTGAGTGCTCTTGTGGTGTGTAATTTCAATGTGCAGTGCCATATGTTTTTATCGCATATTTGTTCTAACGTATGTATCAAATTGTCAATGCCTTTTGTCTTTTCAATTCATTACAATCTCATTTTTGTTTTTTTTAGAATGGAAGAAAGTCATACTTCAAACAACCATGTATTAGGGCAAAGTTCTTTAAATTCAAAACGTTTCTTAAGGAGACAATCGTTAAAGTGGTGGTTCAATGCTCAAACATGGTTTATGACGATCATATTTTGGATGTTTGTTTCATTATCCACAAGGCGAAGGCGAACACGGGGTATTCGATATATAATAGATAATCATTCCAAGAGGGAGGGATATTTTAAAAGATTAGTACACGGACCTGAATCAAACTGCATTTCCCAATTAAGAATGTGTCGTGCTGCTTTTTTCAAGTTGTGTGATATGTTGGTTACAAAAGGTGGGTTGAGACCAACCCGACATTTGATAGTAGAAGAACAAGTATCTACTTATGGAATAAACATAACCTAAAAATCACTTCAGAAACACAAGTACAGTTTACCTGCGATGGTTGCGACATAATCAGCAGCAGGAAGGTCAGCAATGGTTGGAGAAAGATAGGCGAGACACTATGGTGAATGGTGTTCTAAGCTATTTTACGACGATAGATATGGTATGGATGTAAATAACAATTTCACATCGAGAAAACCAGGGACACGATCGTCAATAAAATAAGCTTAACTTAACGATTAAATAAAACATGGGGGGCGTCACTTTAGTAACCGGCGACTTAAGAGGCCCTTCAGCTTACTAAACGGGGAGTTAGCCGCAAAAATCGTTTACTTCACGCGTCTTGTTAAGCTAGCAGCAAAGTTAACATCAAAGTAAACGGCTCCTAAACCTTTCCTTTTTGCACCGAGTATCATTGCCTGAAATGAGTCATTCCGGTTCCTCGCATCCCCGTCTTCAGTATAACGCAACGCAAGAGCAGAGTCAGATTCTACCTGGAAATTCGAGAGTCCCAAACCAGTCGCCCAGTTAATAGCATACTCCATCGAAGCTAATTCAGCCTCTAAAGGAGACGACGCCCTCAGAGGAAATGAGATAGCCCAGACCAGTTCTCTGTCCCGATTTCTCAAAATAGCACCGCCTGCAACCGAATTGGGTAAAAATTTCGCATCTGTGTTAAGCTTCATTTGTGTTGTTTGTGGCCTTTTCTAGCGAACTGCTTTAAAGTTTAAAGTAAACCCTTTGAAGTTTGAAATTGGTAGGAATTAACTTTTCTTCAAAGAGAATTTCTCCAATTGAGTTGAGCTAGATATATTTTAAAAATTAATTTATATACAACTTTCATTGAATTTAAGAGGTATATTAAATTTAATTAACAAATATTAATGTCAAGGGGTATATAGTGAGAATGATCCAAACTTAGGGGGCAACTAATTGAATTTTGAAAAAGCAAGGTTGCATTAGTAATTATGATATAACCTAAGGGGGCTAATAATAATTTTCCCAAGAAAGAAACAAGAAGAAAAAGAAAAAAGCCGCCACATGGTTCACCACGTACATGTGCAGTTAATGAGAACCTGATTTTTTTACCTCCAAAATCACTCAATTTAGCCATTTTTTAAAAAAAGTTGAGTTTTTTTAGTGTTTTCAAAGTATGAAGGTCTACTTTGCTTCTATTTTACATAGTACAGGGCTCGATTTGATAGTTTTCACATGTTCTTTTCTTTTTTCAGTCGATAAATCTAAATAAAGATCTCACCTTTCACCTGTGCGAAGCCAGGAATATAATGTTAGGGACTTGGTTTGAAACTTTTATGCACCAGGGGCCATAGCTTAATACACATTATAAGTATCTATATAAACATATTTATAATAGAAATTTTGTTTGGGGGGCTCCATCCCCTTCTTGTCTCCACCACTGCATTTCATTGATTTTTTCAAAATAATATACCGTGTATTAGTTTTTTTTTTCTATTTCTCTCTTTTCCTATAGTTTAGACGTTCTTTGTTGGAATTTTTGGGGTTTTTCAAATGAATAAGTTTTTAATTTTTAATTTTGTGTGAAATATTATCATGAATCAAAAGACCTTTTTATCCCACCATATTAATATTATCATTATTGATCATTATAATAATTTAACTCGATATTAATTTGGTTGAACTACTTCTCCTAACAGTGGGCATTATTGGGAGTTAAATGTAGAAACATTTTGTATTCATTATTCCTTAAATGTTTTTAAACAACTTAATTCATACCTCAATCTCATTAAATGTCTCTCTAGTACCCATGTTTGGTTTTCATCGTGTGTAATTAGGTTCAAATGAGAAAGTGATCTTAGGAGAGAAGTGAGAATGAATCTGGACCGTTAGATTGAATTCTATAAAATTGAATATGCATTAATTGAAACTGAAATGTGCATTAGATGAAATCGAAATGTGCAGCACAAAAGGTAGGGTAAAGTGACATCACATGAAGCTAAATTGTGCATTAGGTGAAAGTGCAATGTGCATTAGGTGAAACTGAAACGTGCAAAACATTTTTGTGACTTTTTTTCTGCACATTTCGATTTTACGTAATGCACATTTGAATTTTAACTTTTATTTTGCACATTTCAATTTCACTTAATGCACATTTCAGTTCCATCAAATGCACAATTCAATTTCTTATAATACAATCCAACAGTCCAGATTCATTCTAATTTCTCTCCTGGGAGTCCTTTCTCACCGGAACTGCTCCCTATATATGTGTATCTAAAATATTATAAACATCAATGAAGGTTAGGTTATTTTGGGTATACAAAATGTGTTGGTGTAACTCTATGCTTTAAGCTTTTGTACTCTAAGTTTCACACTAAGTACCTCTTTATTTGTACCGAAGCCTCTCCGTCTGCTTCCGTTAAAATAAGTGCGGAGTGCGGACACCTTAGTTATTGCTAATATTGGGTTCCGTCTTCCGTTAAAATAAGTGTGGACAACTTTCATTATTGGGATCAAAATGGGATTAAGCTAGGATACATTTTACGCCACAAATATCACGTAGCTTAATTGCAATTTAAAATTACTTTGTTGGGGAGTATGTAAAGTTTAGGTAGATCGTCAGACACCTATTTAAAGATAAAATTTTGAAGATATAATTGAAGATATAATTTTCATTATTTAGACAACAATAAAATAAGATAATTCAAGTATATTTTGACAATTACTTTTGATGAATGTATACTATAATTAGGTCATTGATGATAATTTTGATATAAAAGTATTTATTGTAAAAATTAATGATTACATTGTCATTTACGAAAAATAATTGTTTCCTGAAATATAAATGCGAACTTTTATATAAGACATCCAAAAAAAATAGTATATTTTAGAATGAGACAGGGGAGTATTACTTTAATAGAACAAATGGTGATAACATATTCTTACGTAATTATTGGTACAATGCTCATGAAACCTAGAGAAAGGAGAGCTCTGACTTCTCTCTAAAAACTTAGCAGTCGTCTCCCCTCTTTGTAGGGATTGAGATTTTCCGTTGCCCCTATCAATATGGGGTTGTAGCGACAGATTATTCTGATTTTAAGTGTGCTAACACTTGGGATTGTAACTATGTCGGAGGAGATAACGGTGGCGGATGAACGGATTGCGGCTGGAATTTTGTATCGGTGTTGGATCGTGAAGCCTTGGTCGACCGCTCTGACGGTGGTTGAGTTTGTATTCATTCATACTGCAAGAGTTCGTCCTCCTCCAGAACCACCTCCACACCAGGAAGAGTTTTATGGAAAAATTTTATTTTAATATTATTTGCTCTTTAGTAGTACTGGTTTTAGTTTTAATCCGAGTAGATTTGGTTTGATTGTTTGGATTTTCGTAGTTCTTTTGATAGGCAGAGTTTAAGATCTGTTCGTTTTAGGCTTACATTTGTCCGTTTCAGGTTTAGCGAGTCAAGTTGCTTTGTATGAGGTGACTAATTCTATGTCTACTCCTAGGGTTCACGATTGGATCTGTAAAATCTGTCTGAAGATTGTCTTGTATGCGTCCTCGATTTTAATATAAAGCCGCCTTTTTTACGATTAAAAAAAAGTAATTATTGGTTGATGAGTGTGAACTTATAGCCTGTTTAGTAACATTGGAACTGATTGAATACATTGAGTGTGTTGATATCGACAAGATCTAGCTAAAGCAATTCAATCCGCTCAATTGTGGCAAAATTCTATTTAATATGTATTCTTTTTCATAAAAAATATAAATAAAATAATGAAATAATAATAAGAAAATTTGTTAAACTGGAACCTTTAAACAATTTGAGAAGTTTCAAGTTAGTTGTGATATGTAGAAATATATATTCTAACCATATATTATTTCTACATAATCATTTTACAATTTAGTCCGCAAAATAAAAAGTTACCTATTTCATAAAAACGTTGGTTAATAAAGTTAATATAGTAAACAATTTACATGTATTTCTTATTTTACACGTAGTACCATTTTACTCATTCAATACTTTTCATATTAAACTTCTGGACATTATGAATTGCTCTGGATGAATTCCAAGTCCTACTTGGTATGGACGGGTAATCATAGTTCAATATTTTTTAGTTGTTTGAAGATTGGTGGAGTGTTATCCACTTGTGGCATTCGTAACCTTGTAGGTCGTATGACGTTGAATCCCCTTGGATATAAATAAATATTGTATCTAGAATAAGGGAAAAAATAAGGATGTCATAAACTATAATGCAGCCTATAGAGCTACCTTAGAGAAAATATCACCAATCTCAAATCCATCTTGAAGAATAGTTACAAAGTGTGGGTACTACACACCTGTAGTTTCAGCTACTCACGGGTCTGATTATGAAGTCAAAAAAATACAATTCTTTTAAAGTTATTTACCATTTGGAATATTAACAATTTCTTATGAGTCAGATTCTTCTACTAATTATAACATCAATATTCTCACATTGTTCACACTCAACCAATTAAAGTTTTCCTTTGTGATTATTATCACCCAGAATAATTGGGCATTTTTCAATCGCGCAACGCGCGTTACAAAAACTAGTATATATATATATATATATATATATATATATATATAGAGAGAGAGAGAGAGTAATCTTTCGGTCACGAATTTCCTGACCGGAGCGCCGTCCGGCCTCCTCCATTTGGGGGCCTTCCCGGTGGTATTTTTTGCTCAAATTTTTTGTGTATGTTCCTCATCAAGTCTAGTTCATCCATAACAAATTTCAGCAAAAATTCAATCGCGAAGTTCGTCAAATGATTTTGACAAGTTAACGTCTTTCACTTTGTCCACTTTTGATACTTGACTAATGTTTTTAACCGTTTGTGGTTCTTTTCCGGCAATTTTAACCATCAGAAACAATGCTGAAAGGACCATATATGGGCGAAAACACAATAGTCATGTATCAAAAGTGGACAAACAGAAAGATGTGGACTAAATGTGGAATTGACCTAAAACTCGTACAACCAAAAGTGGAATTTATTCAGAAAATAACCCCTATTTAATCGATGGATGACCTTTAGGACTCCGACAAGAATGGTGATATTTGTAATAAAGCTTTGTTGGTCACACCAGAATACTATTTGCCCATGGAAAATTTGAACACTCAAATTAAGATATACAGGAAAAAGTATCAACGATTCCATCATATGAAGAGTAGATCTCAAACTCAGCTGGAGTACTCACTATGTGATTGAGTGTTATAGTTTCCTTGGGAGGGACTTTTTTATTGTAATTCGGGTTGGGTTATTTCACATTGTTTTTCTCCTATTGTTATTACTTTCTCCGTTTTCCTTTTTTGTTTTTCATTTTTCTTGTTGCTTCTTTCCTTCCATGCATAGTAGTCAATGGCGCAAATGGCGATCGCCATTTCTCGCCTTTGGCGATTCAGGGGGTCCTCGCCACTATTTTTGGCTATGGCGCACAGGTTACAGGTTGCGTTGCCAAATGTGTGCTATCGCCATTTTGCGCCAAATAATGGCGCTATCACACGCGTCTGGGTCGCGACTTTGGTTTGATAGTCGCTGTAGCTGATCGCCGTCGAAGTCGCTGTAGCTGGTTGCCGTCGAAGTCGCTGTAGCTGGTCGTTGTCGAAGTCGCTGTAGCTGGTCGCCGTCGCTGTAGCTGGTCGCGTCGCCGTCGATTGTTGCTGAAATTGGTCGCCAACTCTAATCGCACACAGATTGCTTGCTTCGTGGTTTTAGTTCTTCGCTATTTTAGATTGAAGTCTGACAGAATAACTTAAAAGTTAAAAGCCTTTCTCTAGAACCCGTTCTTTTTTTTTGGGGTAAAGTTAGAACTTAGAAGCCTTCTCTGTTTCTCTTTGTTTTTCACTTCCTCTCATTTTTTGTGGGCCAATTGACTGGACGGTTGAACCGTTGAACCATATAACTTATTTAATTTGATTTGGATTATTTTTGGTGCTATTTTTGGTTATTTAAAATTTAACTCTTTAATTGGTGGTTAAGTCATACACATATATTGTGTATTATGTTATGTTTAAATTTTTTTGATGTTGTGTTTTACTGGTGCGCCATTTTAGCGCCATTTTAGCGCCATCGCCATCGCCGTGTGAAATCACCCCCGCGCCATGCCGGTCGCCGTGCGCCGTGACTACTATGCTTCCATGTAATTTTTGAGTTTTTTTCCGTATTAATGTTAATTAATTAAATAATTACGAAAATAGGGTTGGGTTAAAAGTATTTACCAATATACTGCTGGGTTAACCATGGTAGGGGTAAGTCGCCCAACGGTTGGGCGACTTATAAGTCGCCAAACGGTTTGACGACTTATAAGTCGCCCAACTGTTGGGCGACTTACCCTTAAGTAAAATTGTCGCACACAGCCACAGAACAGAACGCGTTAACCAATCCCCAAATCGAGCTAAGCTGCAGCGACGAACGACGACCGACGAACGACAAGAGCCATCTCCAACTCCGGCGAACCTCCATCTCCGACGACCCCATTCTGGCGAACCTCCATCTCCATCTTCAACACTCTTTCCTCTTTCTTCTAGGTAAATCAAACTTCATTTCATCTCATTTTGAACTTAGGGTTTTGAATGTTAAAATTTTCGAATTTTTGGATTATGAATTGATTGTGAATTCAGTTGTTGTGAAATGTGGATATGTATGAAATGTTGAAATTTGATTTTAAATTGATTGTAAATTTTAATGTGTATTTTGACATTTGGGCATTTGGGTAGATTTGAATGTAGCTAAATTTGGGTATTGAAATGTAGACTTGAATGTAGATATCAAAATTTGGGTAGTTTCATATTGAAATGTGAATTGTTTGTGAGTTTTGACTTTTGGATATATTAGAATTTTGGTAATTTTTTCTAATGAAAATTTGAATGTGTATAAAGTGTGTATATTGATGCCTACTCATTAAAGTTGGACAATGAATTGTTATTAGAATATGGATTTCTCAAGCTTACCAATCGTGTGTCATTGGGGAGGGAACTATTATGAGGATGCTGAGCAAATATGCCATGAAGGTGGTAGAACCATCTTTGTCATGGTTTCTCGTGGCGCTTGCATGCTCGAGATCCTTCAAAAACTACATGCAGCCACAATGATTCATCCTAGCCGTTCTTTGCGTTTGAAAATGAAATTTCCCATGAACGGGGGAAAGTCATGCTTATGCCCCTCATTGATGAGCTAGTATAACTAATATGTGGGGCATAGTTCAGATGGAGGACATGTCCACGCTGGAGATATACATTGAGGAATCCATATGTGATGTTTATGGTACTCCATCAACATCAAATGTTGTTGTATCTAGGCATGATGTCAATGTAGGTGTGAATGCAGTGGGTAGATGAGTGTGAGCGGTTGTTAGGTATTCGCCCCATTCTTCGGACTGACCTTCAGGGGTCATCTCTGAGGATGCCATGGTTGAGGGAGCACTTCCAGGTGCTTCCTCTGGACGCTGATGAGGTGATGATCCAGTAGCATGCGCGGACATATATCTTGATGATGATGATGGGAGCCTCCATTTTCGCTGACAAGATCGGAAATGAGATTCAGGTGCTGCACTTGCCTATGCTAGAGAGGTTTGATGTAGCAGCACAGTTCAGCTGGGGTAGTGCCACGCTGGCTTATCTCTACAGACAGGTGTGTCGCGGCTGCCATAGAGGGAGCACAGAGCTTGGGGGGATTTTTGCTACTCCTCCAGATTTGGTCATGGGAGTATATCCACATTGGGCGTCCCATTGTAGTCGCATATCATGGCATTGATGGACACCCATTGCCTGATGAGCCTCCACATCTTCTGGGACCACATCATGTACGGGGCGAGGACCCTCTGGGCCGTCGATATGTTTTCAATCGTTGGTATTTATGTGATTGTATGTTGAATGTAAATATATTAATAATATCCATATTAATGAAATAGTTACATGAATGGTTAGATGGCTATATGCTGGTCTATGTCACATGTCATCCGCTACTGGGCTCGGTGTCTACAGGGATGCATTTGATCAGATGTCTGAGGATCAGGTATGGTGTGGGTAATATAACATTAAATATAATATGTATAGCATAAATACTAATTTTGTATCTTTATGAAACATATTACATGGATGCCGTATACAATCGAGATGTTTGCAGGGTTGCCCCCAGCTGGACGAGAGCATAGTCACATATGGCGAGCACGTGTGCCGTTGATATGTTTTGACATTGTTGAGCTTCATTTGCCTGATCGAGTCTTGCGACAGTTTGGGTTTGAGCAGCTCATTCCACGGCCTATCGACACTTATGTAGAGCTTCATAGGCTGGATAGGCGTGGGAAGCATACGGAGGATTGGGCACTGAGACATGTTCGATACGTCACTCTGTGGGACAGGCGAGCTGAGCTAGTTGTGACTGGGACACCGACATTTGTCCCATCTGTTTCAGGAGACTACAAGGGATGGTATTACAGCATCACTCGTTTGTTGTGTCTCCTTCGTTCAGACTCCCTACTCATCATTATCAGCCTAGCTCCTTAGCTTTGCATCTTACGGTGAGTATATTACTAAATACTCCCTCCGTCCCATTTATATTGTCTCGTTTTACTTTTTCGGGAAGTCCCACTTAAATTGTCTCATACCATATTTGGCAAAGTTTGTGAGGCTCTAAATCATTCTTACTTTATTCTTACTTTATCAATTAATATCAACCACACAAACCCACTTTTCTTAATAACCGTGTCACCCTCTTCCGTCCCAATATAAATGGGACGGAGGTAGTAGTAAAGTAAGTCATTTTATTTATTTAATACTTGTATGTATTTCAATGTAATTGTAATTGTGTTTCATATTTCAGACACGAGCTTTGCAGCGTATACATAAGCGGGTTACTGCCACAGTGAGTGATACTCATGATGTTGACATGTATGGACAGGCTCTGACAGGCATTGCCTCCTTGTGTTCAGATGTGTTGGGGCGAGTCGACTACGGCCATCTTATACACATGCCCCCATCTCAGGAAATGCCATCGACGTCTAGTGCAACGGCGGCTTCATCCCAGACGCAACATGAGAGAGTGGTTCTTCAACCACGTCCACGGCGTAGGCATAGACATCAGCAGCAACATCTCCATGACCAAGATGACCATGAGAACTTGTAGTTTGTCTTTTGTATTGCAGTTTTTCTTGTACAGTATATGTTGTAGGAACAATTTACAACATTTTACGTATTTTCTCTTGTAAACTCTTGTATGTTGTCTTGATGTGTTCGAGTATGAATATTAGATGATTACTTGTTATGAATATTGGATGATTGTACTATGTTTTACAGGTTATGGATCTAAGGTTTTGTATTCGGTTTGTAAAGGGTATTTACAAGGTGTTTTGTATGTTGTTGAGAGTAGGTGTTATGTATGTGTTTGTGAACATGTGTAATGTATGTTTTATAATGTGTTGTATCTGGCTCGTAACACTTAAACAGGAGAAGGGAGACCTTATTTATAGCAAACAGATGAGTCTGGGTTGAACCGGGGCAAAAAACATGCTGAAATTCTGTTTTCGGAATTAGGCACGATCGTGCTCACCCTTGCAGGCACGATCGTGCGTGGCTGACAGTGGCTGCTGGTCTGCGTTCATATGGAAGGGGTAAGTCGCCCAACCGTTGGGCGACTTTCCCTGACCATGGTTAAACCTAGCAGTAGATCGGTAAATACTTTTTTTTCAGCATTATTTTCGTAATTAATTAATTAACATTAATTCGAAAAAAACTCGTAATTTTTATCAATTTCGAATTCAGCTTTTGTGATGTAGAATTTCTACGGTAGCCTATCTATGTCGATTTTACTTATTAATACTAAATTACTAATACACATGCACTTATCATGAATAGAACATTGGGACGTATGGAATAATCAGAGTATCAGTTAAGGTTCCTTTGATTGATATCACATGTTCTGTACAAATTACACAAACAAGACGTTTGTAGATTATTGCTTGATATCACGAATTGATATCAATTCTTTTAATTGATATCGTGTGTTAAGTTCCAATGACACACCTAAGTGATATCACGAAGGATGAAATAACTTCATTATTCACGTATCAAACTAAGTAATGTGTCTTGGTATAAAACAATATACTAGATCTTTTTAAAGGTTGCGATAAAATAATTGAGATATGAATTGAGTACGAAAGTAATCAAGTATTTCAATGCAGAGATAATTTTGACAACCCTTTAGTATAAGGTAGATTCTATGGTACCCTAAAGGTACCGTACCTTTGTCCACATGGACCAATCAGAATGTTGCAGTTGAATTATTTAAGTTTAAATTAAAATTGATATACCTATGTGGACCAATCAAGTGAATGGTAGGTACGGTACTCCATTTTTTAAATGGGTGCCGGAGTTCTCACCTATGTGGACCAATCAAGTGAATGGTAGGTACGGTACTAAATGTATAATGATAATAGTAAATAGTCTATAGTTTCATGTGACCTCATGACCTATTTATACACGTTTACCAGAGTATATTCACTATTGATTACTCTTTGGGCCTGGCCCAATGTGTGTGTTAGTGCTAACGGGACATCTGATCTGATCAATAATGGACCATTTTGGGCCGGTTTCAAATTTGTCCATATATAGGTGTCTCACGCCTCGTCATGCCGCTCAGGAATAATATCTATTCCTACACATGAGCACTCTTCCGGTCAGGAATTCCTGACCGGAACCGCCGTCCGGACGGCGGCGATTGGCCACTTTCCGGGTGGAATTTTTTGATGAAATTTTTATGACATGTTCTTCATCAAGTCTAGTTTATCCACAAAAACATTCAGCCAAAAACTCATTCGGGAAGGTCGTCAAATGATTTTTGCAAGTTAACTGGTCCGAAAAATACATATTCCGGACGAGTTAACTTGCAAAAATCATTTGACGACCTTCCCGATTGAGTTTTTGGCTGACTTTTTTTGTGGATAAACTAGACTTGATGAAGAACATGCCATAAAAATTTCATCAAAAAATGTCACCGGGAAGGCGGCCAAACGCCACCGTCCGGACGGCGGTTCATGTCCGGAATTCCGGACATGAATAAAATTCTCCTACACATTACTCAAACAGCATACGACAAATTAAAGGCCGCTGGTAATAGTTTTTAAATTCTTAGATATACTCTACAAACCCCAATCAAATTTTGATTCACATTATTTGCAAAAACAATAAAGATATGAAGCAAAATAAGTCACTAATTGTATTTTTAATTTCAGTTTCCATATCTAGATAAAATAATTAATTCTAATCATTTAAATGTTCAAAGAACCAATTGGAATGACGAAATTAGGATCAATTGACTTAATACTTGTTACTAAAGTTGTTTTTACTTTGAATATCGGTCTTAGACGAGACTAAAACATGCTAGATCACACTTAAATAGACTAGATTAGACCAGATCAAATTTAAATAGACTAGATTACACCAGACTTCAACATTCATACAATAAAAAAACAAGACATCTACCAGATTAGACCAGACCAGTTCAAATCAAATCTAACCAAATCAGACTTAAATAGATCAAATCAAATCAGATTAGACTTGAAAATTTCATTCCAAGTAAAATCGTCATAAATAAAAACGAGAGTCTTAGTTTTATTTTTTGTCAATTATGGGTAAGGTTTATGTCCCCCCATTTTTGATCTGGTCTTTTTTACTGATGTATTTTGAGAGGGTATACCCTCTCTGAAGAGGTTTTGGTCTAGTCCCCCTCTTCTTTTGTACTCTTTTTTTTTATTAATAAAACTTGGCAAACGTTCCCCGGCGTTTGCCCCACCGATTTTGGTGGTTTACCTTCCGGGTTCAAAAAAAAAAAAAAAAGTTTAATGGATCAGTTTTATGAACAGATTAGCCAATCTCGACCCATAAATAGATTTAAGATGGTTTGTATGTCATTTGTCAATTGTGAAACGTGTTAAGAGAACTCAATTGACTTTTGAAATAGATGATAATAACTTTTATCAAATTATAAAAGGAGTGAATTGTTTTGAGTCAATCATTGATTACGGATGTTTTCTTTGACTATTTTCAGTCCTAGACCAGATCAAACCAGACTTCTATAGTTATAAAATAGTAAAATACAAAGAGACCAGACGTTTACCAGACCAGACCAGACCAGACCAGTTCAGACCAGACCAGATCAAATCAGACCAGACCATCAAATTACAGTCCAAAAGAAAACATCTTAAGAGTCCAGAGTAAATTCGGCGAAATACTAAGATCGTGTATACAAAGCAAATATATATGTTAAATTCATACTTCGGATGTTTTTACTTGAACTGTAATTTGCTGGTCTGGTCTGGTCTGGTAAGGTCTGGTTTCTTTGTATTTTTATAACTATCCAAGTCTGGTCTGATCTTGTCTGAACTGGTATGGTCTGGTCTGGACTGGTCTGGTCATGTCTGGGACAAATTACAGTCCAAGTAAAAACATCTTTCTTATTAAGTCATTAAATTAAATGATTGTGACAAGTGGTAGTGAACTTAGACTATTTTTTCATTTTTTGGGACATTTCTATTCCTTTTAAAATCATAAATAAATACAAAAGATTTGAAAAACATGATCGGATAAAGCTCAAAATAATTAATGTAATATATAATAGAATGACACATTTTCTGTTCATTACACATTTTATGTTTTGATTACTTTACTATGAAAAACTTGGTTTATTAATGACAATTGTCCTTGATTCATATTCATTCTTTTTCGGAGCTCCGTTTCCTTTTTGCGCCTAACTCATTGATTGAGTTTGTTCGTTTAGAGCGAGACAAAACATGACCATCGAGTAGGGGCGCAAACGAGTCGAGCCGAGCTCGAGCATGGGCACGCTTGAGCTCGAGCTTGATAAGGATTCACGAGCTCGAGCTCGATCTCAAGCTTGTACGTGTTAAATAATTCGAGTTTGATCTCGAACCGAGCTCGGCTCGAGCTCCATTCGAGCTTGATTCGAGCTCGGGTCAAGTTTTGCTAATTAATTTTTATAGGTTTAAACTCAAATAAGATGCTCGAACTCGAGCTAAAAATATTACTCCGTATATGTGTACTTATTCATTCTCATTTTTAGTTTATCTCTCATTTACTAACATTTTTATTCTTTATTTTACTGTCAATAAATATTAAGAGTACATATTATAATCATCTGAACCTCCCCTGCCCGGGAGGCTCTGCACATGTTAATATATTTGTAATTATTACTATTATAATATACTCTGTGATAAGTATTGAAAATGAAATAATCTTAAATTAGAATATATATTTCAAAAAAAGTATATATATAATTATTACATATATATTTATTATATATAAAATAGGGAAAAGTACAGAAAACGTACCTGTGGTTTGGGCCATTTTCAGATAGGGGCATGTGTTTCATTTTCTAACAAAGTGGGGCATGCGTTTCAATTCCGTTATCATAGCAGGGGCATGACGTCTAACGCTGTTAAAAAAATTAACCCCGATTTTAAAAAGTCTCCAAAAAATTAAAAGAAATATATTGGGAGGTGCGCCTCATCAAGGAGATCAACAAACTATCTTTATTTTTTTGTTTCCAGCCACCATATCTCCAGAAAGTCCGTCAGAAAATTGATATTAGAGAATTTGTTTTTAAAAAATAATCCCAATAGAGCCGAAAAATCCAAAGAGAAAGATAGGTTGTTGATCTCCTTGACGAGGCGCACCTCCCAATATTTTTCTTTTAATTTTTCGGAGACTTTTTAAAATCGGAGTTAATTTTTCTAATGACGTTAGACGTCATGCCCCTGCTATGATAACAGAATTGAAACACATGCCACACTTTGTTAGAAAATGAAACACATGCTCCTATCTGAAAATGGCCCAAACCACATGTACGTTTTCTGTACTTTTCCCAATAAAATATGACACAAAGGCTCGCGAACGGGCTCGCGAGCCACGAGCCTAAAATAAATAGGCTTGAATTGAGCTTGTTAACTATTCGAGTCGAGCTGAACTCGAGTCAAACTTAATATAACCGAACTCGAGTCGAGCTTTTCCAGAGCGATCCACGAGCAGCTCGCAAGCGGCTTGACTCATTTACACCCCTACCATCGAGTAAATCCAGAGTTGGAGGATCATAATTTGAGAAAATATTCTCAAATTCATTCTATTCTACTAT